GTTTATATTGTTCAAATCGAAACTTATTCAAATCGAAACTTATTAATTTGTATCTAACTATAATTAGTTACATATATAGGTTGGATAACATATATTAAGAATGACTGTTGGCAGTATTGACTGGCTTACACCATCAAAGTTTCTGTGATCACAGTAAGAATTTTGCATAGAACACTCTACTCGTGTTTTAAATAGTACTTCAAACACTCATTAATAATTCATAAGCTAATTGCAAATCATGTCGACCATAATATGTCACGTGCAGTGGCTTTAAACCTGATAAAACACTCCTAATTAGTATTCTAATAATTCATGAAGAAAATTCAAAAGAAATGAATGTTTAATCAATGTTTGTAAATCGCATAAAGATTTGTCCTGATTTACATGAACTTCAGCTTTGATCTTCTCGGCTTGGACAATGTTTATTTTTAAAATTACTTCGCCAATGAACTCATAAGATGGATCGTTTTATAAGCACGATAAAACATTCGCATCCGATCTTTATCTGATATACAAACTCTCGCCTTCGGCTTCGGCTCGAGTTTTTATATCAGATAAAGACGGCTGCTGATGTTTTATCTAGTACATGCAAAAGTTCGCCGTCTAAACCAGCCATAATTATAGCTGTGCATCATTCGTGCTGTACAGCAATGCTTCCTACCTTTAAAAAAGCTTATCTTGGTCCCAACACTTTAACAACAACAGTAACAATTGCGTATTGTATGAAAGAATCTTGCGCGTTTTAGTATTAATCTAATCCGACCACGACAACAGCAACTGCATTACATTTCACCCGAGGAAAGGAAATTCATCTCAAAGCGTGAAGACAAAACATTTCATCGTCTGAATTGATGTTTTCCTGAATAAGATCAAAACTATTCTTAATGGCGGTCATAAAAAATTTTCTTTTCATTTGTTATTTCGAATAAACTTTTTTGGGGGACAAGTTGGTGTCCCAAAAACCTCCAAAACTATTGAAATAACTTATTGTTGGAGTTTGAATGCCCTAGCACTAAGTTGCACGCAAATATGCGTAAAGTCTTTGCGAATGGTCTTTTCTCAGAATTGTCATTGACCTTTGTGCTCGGCTACTTCAGACAAGAGTTCTAAACTTACCTAAACTAAGCTTCGGTTAATCTGGAATGCTGGATTATAATTTCTATAATCTGTAAATTGTTGTCCAGAAGTTGAACAAGGGCCAATGCTTATCGGCCTAGTTTTATTACAGAAGAATATTTTATGACTATCAGTTCTGGAGCTTTTCTCCTTATGGTTTTAATAAGGCTGGTTTGAGGGAACTGATTTAGTTGCCTCAAACATTTCTTACAAACCTTCAAAACCTAGAATTTTAATACCTACGCAACATTCCTAATAATACCTACTTGTGTAAACCAGCTTTTAGTCCAGTAAGAAAACAATTAATGGTGTTTTCTCAGAAGAATACTCTGTAAACTTAACCTTTCAGATAACTCGCATATATCTAGTTACCTCTGTTACGTAATCATATAATGGGTTGTGTAATCATGTATTGGAACAAAGGTAAAATTATACGTTAGATAAGTAGCCCAATTACAGTATTAGGCTAATTATCATTGAATATCAGCCTATCAGATAAACAGTATCCTATTATGAGCTCTGGCCGACAGGAAAATTCCCATAAATCTTCTCCAGACAGACTGACACATTGTCACACTTGAAATAAAATTCATCAAAAATGACTACTGTGATTGGATGAGTCCATTAAGTACCCTGGCGTATGTTCAACTTTTGACCCAGAAACATTCCAAGAAAACTGTGCAGTTCAGTTGTTAAAAATATTTTTGTTTCCGGAAACGGTAAAATGGTTTTGTATTTATTAAGAGGCGATCTTTTGTTTGCAAAGAATCTTTTGTTTGCAATGACACATCGGACCACAATTTGTAGCGATTTCAAGATGGCGGCACTTTTGTAGAAATGATCTATAACTATAATCATATGACTATAATCGACCCAGGTATTTTCAACTCTCACTAAATGAAGTATGTCGAGCCTGAAACGCGCCTACGATCATTCGGCAAACGAGTTTGCCGCTCATTTTCAAAAGTTATTTTTTAATAAAATTTTATTTTGTAAATTAGACTATTAGAGTTATTTTTTCTACTTTGGCAGTTGTAATGCCACCGTGATAGTGCAGCAGTAACGTTTAGGAGGGTAGTTTTACCACCGCTGCCTAAAGTTTCGGATTTATTTGAGGATTTATGACGTGCGAGCGAAGAAACAGCTCGTCCAGAATTTCATACTTGACCAAAATGAAAATATCACTGGTATGTATACAAATTTTTATGCTAGTTTTATGCATGTAAATAAAGTTTGTATCTTTTTAATCCATGTTAAGGTATTTTCTGACGAACATGCTTTCCTAGACTTCCTAGTAACGCTTGTTTTTCTGGGTTTTTTTTGTGTATGACAGTTCTGGCTACAGAATTTATATGGGAAAATATTGTGACAAAACAAAAGTCAGCATAACTTTTACTCCTTTAGTTTTGGATATAACATGCACGAGTGAGTTTTTCAAAGAGAATCAAAGGAAATTGAAAAACTCAGTTGAGGTCCGATTGAAAAACTCACAAGTTTTATCCAAATTTCACGAGAAACCATCCTATTACATTTTGACATAAAAATGTTTGAGACAATTGTAGTTTTAACTTCTGTTTTTAATAGAAACTGTCCACTGACAATTTTTTCTGCTTTGTTATATCACATTGTACAACGCTAACAGCTTCAATATTTCCCTCAAATACGTACTAAAGTATTGTCGATTTAGAAAAAATAAATGCCATATTTTCCACCCAAACTCAACTTTTACTTATGTAGCATAGCCCGCCATGTTTTGTTTTGAAACAATGATTGATAGATTTTAGATTTCATTGTTTTCCAATTGACAAATTGACAATCAGATCAGTTTGTTACAGAATTTTGCACAGCTGTTTGAGATTAACTGGACTGATTTAATCAACCAATCTCAGTCAAGTAATATTTTTATATATATTACACAGTGATCTAAATATACATATATACATATATACATCCTTTGTTACTTTTATTGCACATTATTATATAAAAAATAGGTACGCAGTGCGTACATGTGGCTAGCCTGGTAAACTTTAACTCCCCAAACACAAAGGGCCTGTTTATATGATCCCAGCCAGGCGGGACGGGATGCTTACCGAGATCCCGCTCGTAATACAAATTCCAAAGAGTGTTTATATGATCCCGCCACTTATCCCGCCTAGACGGGATCTCGGCAACATATACCAGCATCCCACCTGAGCGAGATGAAAAATTCCCATATAAACACTTCATCCCGCCTAGCCGGGACGAGAAATTCCCATATAAACACTTCATCCAGGCTAGGCGGGATGAATTTTTCCCTTTTGAGCATGCGTAAATGCCTTTATTGCAACAAAAATATGACTTCAAGCACTTAAGTGGCTTCATTCCGGCAATGTATTTTGTCCATATAAACACTAGGCGAGTATCCCGTCTAGGCAGGATGAAAACGTCCCGTCTAGGCGGGATCATATAAACAGGCCCAAATGCAAGCTAACTTTAATAGTAATAAGAAGAAACACAGGCTAACTTTAATAGTAATAAAAAGATATATTATTGTACAATGCATATGCAAGCTCCATGGTGATTGGCTAAGAATCTACAAACGATTATCAATGTCTTGCACTCTTGCTGCCTCCGATATTGAAAAATAGTCTGTAGGTGACATAACTTCTAGTATGCATGGCTGTCTTACAAAACTCTCTGCAACTGTACTTGCTCTTGCATTTGTATATTAACCCATTAAGCGCCAGCGCTCTCCCCTTGACGAGTAAAATCGTCTGGCGTTAGACAGAGTAAAATACTAAAGTAGAGCGCATCAGGGCGCAATGCAACTCAATGGGTTAACTAGACACATCGGCAGATAGGCCAGTTAACCCATTAAGCGCCAGCGCTCTCCCCTTGACGAGTAAAATCGTCTGGCGTAAAAAATAAAGAAAATTAAATTTTATTGCTGGATTTTCCTGTAATTCAGTAGTAGCTACAGTAACACAGAATGAAATACAGTCAATAACAACAAACTACACAAATTGAATATTGATTGTAAATAATAACATTGCCTCATTCTCCCCACCTCACTCTCTCCACCTCACTCTCCCCACCTCACTCTCCCCACCTCACTCTCCCACCACTCTCCCTACCTCACTCTCCCCACCTCACTCTCCCCACCTCACTCTCCCCACCTCACTCTCCCCACCACACTCTCCCTACCCCACTCTCCCCATAAGGCCAACTCTCCCCACCCCGCTAAATGAGCCTCGTCCATCCCTACAGAAATTCCAAATCTTTCACTACAGATAAAATTGCTGAAGAGGCAGATGTATTTGATTGTTTTGTTTGTGAAGTTGGCTCTGGTCCTGGATCTTTATCACGCTGGAGCAAGGCATATTGCAGCTGTCGAGATTCACCGCAAATTCATCCCTGAACTTGAGGTATTGTGAGTAAATTGTTCGAGTTAAGCCGGTTTTCCACTAGCGAATTTTTTCGCGCGAAGCGACCTTTTTCCTTTGTCGGCATCCATTTTGCCACGTCTTGCTGACGTAATAAGTGATACCGACAAAGGAAAAAGGTCGCTTTGCGCGAGAAAATTCGCTAGTGGAATTGTGGAAAACCGGCTTTAGTGGGGGTTCGAGTTAACGGGGTCGGTGTTGAATTTCGTCTATTATGTTAATAATTACTTTAATAATTAGGTATAGTCGTTTTATTATTCATCACAATGAGGGATGCAGCTACCTGCCTGAAAAATATTAGGAGTTAATGACAGCTTGTTGAACCTTTTATCTCTTTATCGACTTGTATTACGTTTGAATACATTATAGTGATTATACTATTTATACACTTATTGTTGTCTGAACAGAGTGAACAGAATTAGAAATCCAACTTGTCAATGTGCTGCGTTCTGGCATTTTGAAGTTTGCCATCCTTATTATAGAAGCTGTATTAAATGTTTCCGACACTTGACTGCGTCTGTGCACGTTTACTTTTTGGTGCTTCATTGGTTCTTATCCCTGCAAAACAGGCAATAATTTTATTCATTTTATCTTTACTTTTTTTTGCAATGTACAGTATAGTCTTAGACCACGTTAACACTAAAGGTCCATGCAGACACACCGGACGCGATTCGACAACGCGATGCGATTTTTTAGTTTTTGAAAGTTAATAAAACAGCCAATGAGAGCAAATTTTAAAAGATACGTAGACCAAATAACTCAAAATGTTGTAACGCTTCTAAATATTTGGAAAGTTTAAACCAGCATTAAAGTTATCGGTCAGTGAAAATCGAAAAATCGCGTCGCGTTGTCGAATCGCGTCCGGTGTGTCTGGACCTTAAACCGGAACAGAATTTGGGTGTGTTCACATTACGCCGTTTCAGTTTGTTTACAAATTAAATTAGCGCTCATGTAAACCCAAAATATTTCAAATTGTTTTCAAACAATTTCGCGCCCGCGTAGTGTCAACACAGCGGCCATAATTGTGACTTTTCTGCGCCGTTTTCAAACCGCTCCGGTGTAGCTATATTTATGGCGGGGGGTGGCACGGAACAGAAATCTTTTCCTTGGTAAAATTTTTTGCCTATCTAACCATTAAAAAGTCAAAAAAATTTTTAGCCAACCTCGAATATCAATTAAAAAATAAATACCCACCCCTGGCCAAAAACTTTACAAAATGATACCACTGATTCAGTTGTCACACATGTCCTTTACGACTTCTGTGACATGAGTTTGATAACTGCTTATGCAATTTTCTGCAATCTAAAGTTTCATGTTGTCTGCACATGTACTTTCTTTGGAGACACCATTTGTCTCCTAACAAACCAGAAAATGATCAAGATAGTGACTCTGATTGATTGATTTACATATTGTATTGACATATGACATTTTTTACTCTTTAATATTTGAGTGAATCTTGCTTTGGATATGACAAATTTTTATTACCCAACCCTTGAGTTGTTTTATTTTTTTTATTTTTCATTTACCCAACCTTTTACTCACTCAACATTTTGTTTACCCAACCCTTTTCTTTAATAATGACCGGTGCCTTAAATTTGAGTTTTAGTTAAATAGTTTCGTGTCAGCTCATTCAAATGAACTAAATCAGTAGATGCACGATTAACATATATATTATATGTCTGTTATAGGTTGTCACCAGTTTTAACACCGTTACACACTGTGAGCAACGCGCAAAATCGTACCAAAAAATCAAAGATACTTCAATAGTGTGAGCCATAACACTATCTAAAACCTCTAATCTATATTTCAGCCAATATTACCTAATCTGCACAATTTTAGCTTGTCTTAAAACCGTTTTAAGAATGTTAATTATGCAAACACATCGTAAACACTTGAACTATATATGTAATATTTTAATATACTGGCAACGTCAACGCAAAAAGATGTTAAAGCCAACGGTTCAAACATATTCAATAAGAGTTGAAGTTAAATGCTTCCCATTCTAAAAACAGCTAGCGATGAAAAACTGCGTGATTTTGACATTGCCATTGATCAACTTATTAATCGTTAGTGCTATACTAACATTGAGTCACGAATACCAAAGACCGAATATTTTAAAGAGCAATGCGGTTACAAGACAAGACGTGTATGATACAGATTTTCTACGAGACCAACAGAAATTAAACGGTTTTCAAAACTGGGCTACGGACTCTGGGAAAGGCCAAATGCTAAGAGCTGAACGGTTGAAGTCGACAGGTACAAGTATAATGAAATTGACTGATGGTGACCTTAAATATTATTCGTTGAGCAATAATATTGGCAAAATAAACAAAGTTCTATCGAGCAGTAAAAACATCGCTTTGAAGAATGGACAAAAAATTTACAAAGATTCGAAGAGAATACGGAGGGCTATTGAAACCGAAAACCAGAACACAACAGGCTACAGTGTGGAATGCGAAGTACCCTCGCTTTCATGTCGAAATTGCTGCAACAACTCGAGTAATTGCAGCCATCAATCGACATTTTGTCGTTGCGACCCGCAGTGTACATTTTATAACGACTGCTGTGTTGATTACGAAACATTTTGTGGAAAGAAAGAGGAGATTTCGTTCGGAATTGATCGAGAAGGGCTTTCGTGTATAATCCCACAGTATGTTGACCTGAACAGCGACTCCACGCGAGTTTGGATGGTGAACAAGTGTCCAAACAATAGAAAAATCGACGAAATTTCACAGAGCTGTGAAAATGCTGACGAGTTGGAATTGAATATAACGAACATACAAAAACTCGTTCCGGTTATAGGTCAAAATAAACTGACTTTCAGAAATCAATTTTGTGCCAAATGCAACGGTATTGAACACTTCGAGTATTTTGGCTTCAACTTGAAATGCTATGTGGTACCGCCTGCCTCTATCAGTTCGTTTGCTGAACTGACAGAATTTGCTTCAAAGTACTGCGCTCCGAATAATTGGCTATTCATTTTCAGGGAGGCTAACCAACCAATTCGCGAATGTAACCAATATTTTCGAAACCTCTGCCCAACTTTGAATGAACTCAACGAAACTTGCAACCAACGACCCTTGTGTGTAAATTGTACTTCCAGAATTCATTGGTGTAATTTAAATCTGTCGAAATGGGATGACAATGCGGAAAAGACGTGTACAAAGTTGTGTATTGGCGAAGGGGGCGTTTCACCTTCAGATTCGCCTGGCTACATAGGACCATCGATAACATCAATAACATCATTTACCGTTGCCCTCCGTTTATCGAAGCAAGGCGCTGTTTTCGAAGTAAAAGAACCAAGATGCCCTTTAAATGGACAATTTTACGATCGCTACCTCGAGACGTGTCGAGCGGGTCAGTCCATAAGTTCACCAGTTAAGCATAACCTTGACAGATATGATGTAGTCGTTTGGCTTGATACAAAAGGAAGAAAAGGAAGACAACTTTATCCCACTTTGAACGAAACCATCTCCTCTCTTGCTGAACTGTTCAACTTCAAACGTTCTCAAGTGAGTGTTTTACAAGATATACAAACTGAAAATCCGACGTATAGGGTAATTCGTTTTGAACTTGAGCTGACAAGCGAACAGATGTTACGTTTAGGGAAAGATAATCACACCAACGATGCGATGTTACGTTTTGGAAACGATTCAGGAATTTCGACAAACGTTCTTCCACTTCGAAGACTTTTATTTTTCTCACGAAAATTTAATGTGACAATTTCAAAACCGGGGTGGGATGTTGATGATACGGTATACAAAAATAACCTGACGTTGACTGTATTTAAGACAACCTCTCGTCAACTCGCTTGCATCGGGAAACAGACATATCCCAAAGGTACATATTCTTTATTACAATACGGGAAATATTATATCAATTCAACTGGCGAAACTTTCGCAAAAAACCAAGTGTTCTTCGACGAGGATAGGAACGACAGCATTTCTGTATGTGTGCAGATTGTCCCGAAAGATTGTGACGGACTAAGAATTAATCTGACCTCGGAAGAATACGTCAAGTTTGATAATTTGAGTATCTTTTACAACAGAACAAAAACGATTTACGATTTTGGCGAATACGATATCGAAAATGGGAACATTTTCATGTGTATTCCTGAATATTCATCAAAGATAATACATTGGATTCCCGGTGACTCCGATGTTGTCGAGAAGTATTTGACATTGATTTGTCTTGTTGTATCATTGGCTTGTTTATTTCTGGTCATTCAGACATACCTCATATTTGCCGAGCTTCGCAACCTTCCCGGTAAAAACGTTCTCAGTTTATCAATCTCCTTATTCCTGGTACAGTTGCTGTGGTTAATTCCGGACCGGCGGTACTCGTCCACGCTTTGTCACATAGCAGCAGTCATAAAACATTACTTATTCCTGGTATCGTTTGTCGCCATGGCAACAATTGCGTGGGACACGCATTCAGTGTTTGCAAGCAATGATCTTCCAAAGCCCTCGTCCAGTAAATTTTACAAGTATTCGGCGATCGTCTGGGGTCTTCCAGCCATGTTTGTTGCCGCATGCGCAGTGGTTGACCAGAAAGAAATTTACGCCGTTTATGCTAATGACCTGTTGTGTTGGTTTGATAATATACATGCGCAAGCGTGCCTATTTGTCCTTCCAGTTGGGCTACTCCTGTTATTCAATATCATATTATTCGTCCTGACTGTATTTTGTATGCAACGTGTTCACGTAAGCGCAAGATTAATCCTCTCAGATCAAAGTAATAAAACAATGTTTTGGATCTATCTCAAGCTGTCTGCTTTGATGGGATTCAGTTGGTTGTTCGGCTTCATATATCTGCTCGTGGGAACTCTTGTTTTCTCGTGTCTGTTCGTAATTTTCGCCTCGCTTCAAGGCGCTTATATCGCCCTTGCATTTGTCATGAAAAAAGCCGTGTGGGAAAAGTATAAGAAATTACTTGGAAGAAACCAGAGTGAATATATAGCTAGCTATCGAAGTACCTTGATTGAAGACTTGAGTCACAGTAAAGAAACGAAAGTGTAAAGTAAAAAGCTGGACTGATTCTTATACCTGGTGTCCGAAAAAAAGAACCAGAACCGCTGTCACGATCAAATAAATTTTACGGTATCCAGAAAGGGCGAACTTAAATTTTGATATATTACAATAAGATTTTTATGCAATATTAACGGAGATATCTGGATATTTGAAGTCCAACAAGCATTTGTGATAATGCCAAAAATTTGCGTAAAATGCATACCTATTAAATTGTATCTGATGCATAATTGTATCTGTATATCACTTTACATGTACGGCATATTTGTTTCAAATATCAATCTCAAACTCATTAATTAATAATTCATGAGTAAATTTGAGCCAACCATGCATATTACTTTATTTTGTTCGCATGATAATACTGGATACCTGGTGAAGTATATTGATCCAGTCCTAGGACTGGTGGTGTAAATAGCGAGCAACATTTGACATTTGATATAGTTAATATTAAGTTCTGTTATGGTTTATAGACATTTAAGTGATGACATTTTTGAGTGACATTATAGGCGTTAGTTGTATCAGTATTTTGTAAGAGAGACACGCGAGAGTAAATAGACGGTTTAAAGGACGTATAGTTAGAGAGATTAACGTAAAGTTGTAGTCAGAGTCTTGTTTATATGTTATATTTGTAGCATTTTGTTATTAGTCAATTTTACCATGTTATGTCGCGAAAATATGATTGGAATGCATGTGTTCTAGCCTTTATACTTATACTAGGTGACTTTCATTTTGTATAGAATATATTATCTCATTATAAAAGAAATCCCTGTTCGACTCAGTAAACCAGTCAGTGCCAACCAGCTGGATCAAAATTAAATAATTAATTCACCTCATTTTTAAGTAGTGATGTAATATTTCAAATCCGACTATGAGGACTGGACTAGATTTTGAGTCCGCGCAATTTGATCAAGTCCGAGGCGAAGTCGAGGACTGGGTCAAAATGCGAGGACTTGAAATCTAGTCCATACTGAATTGACCATTTGCGTAATAGACTAAATTTTGAACTAAACGAGTCTAGACAAAAATTTCATTTGAAGGAGCATCACAAAATTAGGAATATTCCAAAGTTTCGTTGCAAAATGTTGTAAAATGCGGAAAATATAGCCTTGCGAAATTTGCAATTTTCAGTCATTTTAGATTACAAACGGGAAATTGACAGCCCCAAACCCTTCGAGGCTGTCGATCTCCGGTTTGTAATCTAAAATGCCACTGAAAATTGCAAATTTCGCAAGGCTATATTTTCCGCATTTTACAACATTTTGCAACGAAACTTTAATATTACTAATTTTGTGATGCTCTTTCAAGCTGTAATGAAATTTTTGTTGAGATCAAAATTTAGTCTATTACGCAAGTGGTCCATTGGAGGATTTGAAATGACATCTCATACGAATAAATCACTACTTAAAGTGAGGTGAATTAATTTTGGTCCAGTCCTAGGACTGAATTAATATACTTCATCAGGTATCCAGTATTGTCATCTGAGCAAAATAAAGCAGTACGGTTGGCTAATTTACTCATGAATTATTAATGCCACAATTGACTGAGCTGAAGAAGCAGTACCCGCTGCTGCTAACAGACCTACGATGGAAACAGTTCGTTGATTCTCTTCTACCTAGCACAAAAGAACGCGAGGACGTTGGCTCGTAAAAGGATTCAGCTTTACAGTTTTAACTTTTTTTATGAACTTGCAAATTTTCAGGATGATCTGAGATTTTTTGTGTATTTCGACGATGGTGAAGTAGAATACGATGCTGATTCAGCAGAAGAGAAAAATAAGGTACAGTTGGTTGGCTAATCATCGTGTTAGTTTTCTTGTCAGATAGATACTTTTGTGCAGATTTTAAGGCACCTCTTAGACCCTAAGAAAGAAATAATGCGTTTATTTTTCCAGATCTGCAGTCTTTTGGATGGAATCGTGTCTGACAATAAAAACTTGCAGTTTTCAGGTACCGTAAAACAGTGACAGCATTTCTCACTCAGATACACTAGTGGACACTGGTGGACAGTAGTGGATACTGGTGGACACTAATGGATACTGGTGGACATTAGTGGATACTGGTGGAACACTGGTGGAGGGTGGGGAGAGGGAGAATCCCTCCCCCACCTTTGAATGAGCTGAATATGAATGGCTGAATTTGACATGGCGAAATTTTCTTTCTCTTTTTATTCCCTGGAGATTGGTTGCACACCATTTATTTTGCCTTGCTTATTGAATAGAAACATCTTGTTATTTTCCAGGACTCAACTCCTTATCACGCGCGAGAGCAGCATCGCTATCTGTCAAGAGAGTTATCAAAGAAGGACAGATAGAAAAACGAGGACACAGTGCAGCGTTCTTGACCTGGTCCAAGTACGTCTTTCCATGTTGTTTACTAACGAAAATGAGAATTGATGAGAGTTGAGATACGAGAGTTTGCATGAGAGTTTTGTCAACTGTTCTGTCCCGTTCAAATGAGAACAAGAGTTGCACGAGAGTTGAGAAGCGAGAGTTTACATGAGAATTTTCCTCAACTCTTGTGCTTGGTCAAGCGAGACCAAGAGTTGCATGAAGGTTGAGAAGCGAGAATTTGCATGAGAATTTTTTTCAACTCTTCTGCCTCATTCAAATGAGAACAAGAGTTGCATGAGAGTTGAGAAGCGAGAGTTGGCATGATAATTAATGGGAGTTGAGTGGATATTACCGCGAGCGGAGCAAAAACCTGCCTCAACTCTTTGAGCCAACTCAAAGTTGATAAAAGTGCATGAAAGTGACTGAGCGATCAAACACGAGCGAGCTTTGCGACTCTTATCAACTCCTCTTTCATCAGGGCTTGCATGACTGAGAAAATACGGTTGTCCAGAGTTTTGTACAACGTTGATATTTTATTAACGTTTTGATGTTTAGGCGATATCTAAGAATCAAAGAGGGAGAATTGGCGTATTATAAAGTTGGCGAGGAAAATATGGTAGGTGTTATATGTACATTGTTAAAATTCCTTTGACGATCACAAAGTGTCTGACTGCCTGTCATTATATGTTGTAGACCGCGCTGAATATAATCAAGCTGGGTCCTGGGCATGCGTTTATCAAGAAAGCGGAACACAACGCGTTCATCGTATCTACACAAAAGAAAGAATACAGGTTTTTGCCTTAAAAAACACTTCCAAATTTGACACTCAACACAATAGCTTGAACCCTATTGAAGGTATAGTTATCCACAAATTCAATTCAGTTGTTGTTTATATTGAAGTTTATTTATACTTGTTACCCTTTAGTTTCCGAATAGTAAACACAAACAATTCAAAAGATATCACAGGCATTAAACAAGAAAGAGATGAGTGGTATGTGGTAAGTGAATATTGCAATTTTAACAATTTTAACGACACGCT